TAAAGCGGGTGTGTTACGCTATCAGTGGATACGTGACCAGTGCCACCAATTAGATCTGGTGTCACAATAGCTTGGATTTAAAAAAAAAACACTTTTTCACTGTTATAGATTGAATAGCAGCCGCGTCCTTTAAAGCTGAAGTGTTACGCCTAACAGTGGATAAGCTGAGACCAGTGCCACCCAATTAGATCTGGTGTCACAATAGCTTGGATTTTAAAAACCTATTTTTTTTCACTTAAAGCGGGTGTGTTACGCCATCAGTGGATACGGTGACCAGTGCCACCAATTAGATCTGGTGACACAAAGCTTGGATTTTAAAAAACAAAACACTTTTTTCACTGTTATAGATTGAATAGCAGTCAGTGTCCTTAAAGCGGGTGTGTTACGCTAACAGTGGATACGGTGACCAGTGCCACCAATTAGATCTGGTGTCACAATAGCTTGGATTTAAAAACAAAACACTTTTTTCACTGTTACAGATTGAATAGCAGTCAGTGTCCTTAAAGCGGGTGTGTTACGCTAACAGTGGATACGGTGACCAGTGCCACCACTTAGATCTGGTGACACAAAGCTTGGATTTAAAAACAAAAAACACTTTTTCACTGTTATAGATTGAATGGCAGTCAGTGTCCTTAAAGCGGGTGTGTTACGCTAACAGTGGATACGGTGACCATTGCCACCACTTAGATCTGGTGACACAAAGCTTGTATTTAAAAACAAAAAACACTTTTTCACTGTTATAGATTGAATAGCAGTCAGTGTCCTTAAAGCAGGTGTGTTACGCTAACAGTGGATACGGTGACCAGTGCCACCACTTAGATCTGGTGTCACAATAGCTTGGATTTAAAAAAACCCCACTCTTTTCACTGTTATAGATTGAATAGCAGTCAGTGTCCTTAAAGCGGGTGTGTTACGCTAACAGTGGATACGGTGACCAGTGCCACCACTTAGATCTGGTGACACAAAGCTTGGATTTAAAAACAAAAAACACTTTTTTCACTGTTGTAGATTGAATAGCAGTCAGTGTCCTTAAAGCGGGTGTGTTACTTTAACAGTGGATACGGTGACCAGTGCCACCACTTAGATCTGGTGACACAAAGCTTGTATTTAAAAACAAAAAACACTTTTTTCACTGTTATAGATTGAATAGCAGTCAGTGTCCTTAAAGCGGGTGTGTTACGCTAATAGTGGATACGGTGACCAGTGCCACCACTTAGATCTGGTGACACAAAGCTTGGATTTAAAAAAACAAAACACTTTTTTCACTGTTATAGATTGAATAGCAGTCAGTGTCCTTAAAGCGGGTGTGTTACGCTAACAGTGGATACGGTGACCAGTGCCATCAATTAGATCTGGTGACACAAAGCTTGGATTTAAAAAAACAAAACACTTTTTTCACTGTTATAGATTGAATAGCAGTCAGTGTCCTTAAAGCGGGTGTGTTACGCTAACAGTGGATACAATGACCAGTGCCACCAATTAGATCTGGTGACACAAAGCTTGGATTTAAAAACAAAAAACTTTTTTTACTGTTATAGATTGAATAGCAGTCAGTGTCCT